CTGTAAACCGCTTAGAGAGGCCTGAAAGGCCTATGAAGCGGTATATAAGTCTACTGCTATTGCTATTGCTATTAGAACATGATAAAATGCCTCTCTCTGTTTGTTTCTCCTAACTTTATGGATTTGCTTGTAAGGTTGACATATTGAAATATTATAATGTGGGTTATTCCAAGAAATTAAATGAGTGAGAATAATGACAGTGTCTTATTTTATTGCCTTATTTTATTATGTGTAAGATTTTGAAAATAATTGCTGTATTTTTTGGACTATAAGACGCACCATGATTTTGAAGAGGTAATTAAAAAAAAAAGTTTTTGCACTCTGCAGGCCTCCCAAACCCTCTGCACACCTTGTTTTTTGCAAAAGAAAGGGCGGGGAATAGTTTTGGGGAGGCTTGTAGAGTGCTGCTGGGGAGGGGGGGCAAAAACAAGCAAAAACATGGCCCATTTTTTGCAAAATAAAAAAAAGGGCATGCAGAGCTTTGGGAGGCTGGTAGAGTACTCGTGGGAGCTAGGTTTGTTTGTTTATTTTTTGGGCAAAAACTCTGGTTTTTGTAAAAAAAAAAAAAAAAAAAGGTATGCAGAGGCTTTGGGAGGCTTGTAGAGTGCTCCTGGGGGCTGGGAGGGGGAGCAAAAACAAGCAAAAACCGGCCGGTTTTGGTTCATTTTTGCCCTCCCCAGTTGGATACAGAATGCAGAGGCTACAAGAGGCTTCAAGATGAAAGCAAGCAACACAGTCCTGCTCTTATTTTTCCATAGGTTTCCGAGTTAGGTTCAAGATATACTATACATTTCCATATAATTGAGACCCACTTATTTAAATGAATGATTGCCCCTGTATGGTATATTCCAAAAACTATAATTTGGAATTTTGGAATTCCTTTCTCCAGAGTTCAACCGGCTTCTCTGATTAAATTTAACAGTAACCCGGAAATGTACAGTATTTGTTTTGCTGAAACTTTCCTCCATTTTAGTTTTTGTAATGTTTATCAGCAGCATTTTATGCCAATGTCTATTTTTAGGTGTTTTTTAAAACTTACTAGTGTAATTGCTTTATGATATTGGTTATTTTGCATTATGTTTTATTATTAGTAATATTTTTGTTAACCTCCATGGGCTGGCTTTGTCAGAAAAAGTTGATGATTTATTGATTTAAGATTATGACTTCATGAATTCATTAATTTTACAGGTGTGGCCCTATGTTTGTCTAAAGTTTAATTTTTTTCTGGCTCTCAGGCACACATCTAATTCAGTTCAATTGCTAGTGGAAGCAAGGGTTCAGCCTGCCTCATTCAAACACGTAAGTAAATAGATTTTCTAAGGTACTTGGTATTAAACACTTAGTATTTTATAAGCTGCCAAGAGTCACTCTGTTTAGTGAGTACGTACATTTATTAAATTAATATTTGGAATACATGTAAATCAGACATGCTAAGCAGTTATACTTTATTCCAAATAAGATTGACTACAATCTTGAGCAGATATTTTCTGCTCAAAGCATTTTTGAATTTCCATTGTATTCTAAATAGAATTGTGCAATTTAAAAGATTGTTTTCAAAGTTTTTGAAATAGGAAAACATAATCGCCATAGTAATAATATGCCAGTATTACAAAGTAATAGTGATTCATCTCATTAAGTGGAGATCTTGCTTGTTATAACTGGGATTATTGCTTTTGATAGAGATGTGAATTTGTGTAGGTGTCACTATTGATTGTAAATCAGCTCCTTACCATTGTATATATTATATACTGTATGCAGGTGAACTTTGTTTCGTGACCACTCATTCAGCAACCGTTCAAACGTACAATGGTGCAGAATGAGCGATAGTTATGGATTGTCCTTGAAGTTCTTTATCACAGCATCCTCAACTTGTGATTACGATGTAGCAGCAAGCCGTTGGCATGTGATCACAATTTCATACGTTTCCTGCCTCCCACAAGCAAAGTCAATGGGGAAACTGGCAGGAAGTCAGTTGAGGTTCACAGCAGTCATTTAAGGTTCTTGCTTAACAACTGTGACTGCCTGAACCTCCATAGCTAAGTGGCATGGTCACGTGATGTTGTGTTTTATAACCACGGCACTTGGTGACAACAGCACCAAGGACTACCTATATTATGAAGCAAGTCATATTTAAGATATAAAATATAGCCACACCTTTCATTGTATATAATAATCTGCTAGGGTCTGATTAACAGTTCCTAGAACAAGGATAGGTAACCTTCAGCCAGCATGTGCCCTCCCACTCAGCACCCTGAATTGCACTGTTAGAATTTAGTGGGCAGAATGGCCAACTTTTAGTGACATTATATTTGTTTAATATTGAAAACTAAGTTTGGAATGCAAAAAAGAATATGAGTTTCTGAAAATGAGACTACCTTTATTTCTATTCTTACCCACCCATCAACCCCGAACTACCGTGTTTCCCTGAAAATAAGACAGGGTCTTATTTTCTTTTCACCCCCAAAATATTGATTGGGACTTATTATCGGGGGGGCTTATTGTTTTGGTGTTGCCGGGTGACTGTTCTCCTGCGAGCGGGCGCCCGAAGAGCCAGGCACAGCCTCAGGGGCAAACGGCTGTGTTGTGCTGTTGCACCAGCGCAATGCACCAGCCACGAGGTGACATGCTCACGAGCAGCCACCTGGCAACCCCCCTTTCCAGCCAGGCAGAGCGCCACTCACCGAACCACTGATATCCCAAAGGCGCTAAGCCGCATGGTGCTCTACCCTTCCCTTAGCTCCCGCGGCTTGGTGCATTTGGGATACCCTTAGGTCAGTGCATGGTGCTCTGCCTGGCTGGAAAGGGAGGTTGCGCGAGTGCCTGTTCCACTCCCAGCTCATGTGCCTCCCAGTCTCACCATGCCCTGGCCCAGCTCTCCCTGCAGGGCCAGGGCGCCGCCACTGTCACGACGCTCCAAGCATAACCTATTCTCCAGCTTCCAAACTCCGGAGATCCGCAACTGAATCTTCTGGCAGCGGCCGCTCTCGGACTATGCTCTATGGTTGTGGGCTGGTGCCGGCAGAGCGTACTCCCAGAAGGTACAATGATAGAGCATATTCCCAGAGTGGCAACTTCCGGAAGACTCGGCATCCTATCTCCGTACTTTGGAAGCCGCAGAAAAAGCCATGCGGTGGCGTGGGCAGCAAAAATGCCCTGGCTCTGCAGAGAGAGTAAGGCAAGGGCATCATGAACCTGGGAGTCACACAACCAGGGAGTGGAAAAGCCGCTCGTGCAACCCCTCTCTCCAGCCATGCAGAGCTCCATTCACTGACCTAGGGGCATTCCGAAGGTGCCAAGCCGCGGGAGCCGGAAGGCGACAAACAGCCGCTCACGTGGCTTGGCAATACCCCTAGGTCAGTGAATGGCGCTGTACCCGGCTGGAAATGGGGTTTGCTGGGTGGCTGCTTGGCTGCTGCAACAGCACAACACAGCCTGAGGCTGTACCCTGCTCTTCGGGAGCCAGCTCGCAAGAGAGCAACCACCCAGCAACCCCCCTCCAGCTGGGCACAGCACCACTCACCGACCTAGCAGTATCCCGAAGGTACCAAGCAACGTGAGCCTTTGCACCCCTCCCCCCCCGTTCCTGTGGCTTGGCACCTTTGGGATACCACTAAATCGTTGAGTGGTGCTCTGCCTGGCTGGAGGGGGGGTGTCCAGGGGGCTTATTTTTTGGGGAGGGCTTAAATTTTTGCCCGCCTGAAAAATGTCGCATGGCCTTATTATCAGGACATGTATTTTTGCGGAAACACGGTAACTAACTAAATAATGAAATTTGGGGTCATTCTCAGGATTTGTGTATGTTTTAAGGGTATAAATTGAACTGGTTTATAGGTCATCTGTTCCCATCCCCATAATTTCAGCTCTGAAAAAGGTAGGAGAAAAAAGAATGCCATCCCTTGCATAAGATGTTAACAACTGAAGGGCCTCCTGCTATTCTTTGGAAAGTTGGAAGCCCACAACCCCTTAAACCTTGTTTCTCTTGTCTTGTAAAACTCATTTAGCATAGTACAGCTTTATGTACTATCCTTTGTTGTATGTGAGCGATATATTTACAGGTAATCTTTGTAAAGTTAATGGAAGTGTCATTAACTTTATCTTGATTTGGCAAAGTTGTGGATCTGCCTTACTGGTCTATGTATGCTGCAGTTTCTTTTTCAGTGGGAGTTACCCAGTTTGAAATTAAGCTGATGAGGGGAGTACCCACTTTAGTGTCCTTTGTTATTGTGGTGTGCACATAACACAAGGAAGGAACTGCTTATTCTTGACCATAAAACAGAACTGAATTTGAAATATCACGATAGGTCACAGCTTTTCTAACCCAATATGTTGACATTTGAAGACATTTACTTTATTTAAACAGGCCATTATAATTCCACCTCTTCACCAAATAATGTCAGGCTCTCTCTTTCTCTTTCTCTCTCAAACAGGCCATGGTACATTCCTCCCAGCACTGTGCCGTTTGCATGCAGTTGGTTCGAAAGGAAAACCTATTATCTCTAGCCTGTCAGCATCAGTTTTGCCGCAGCTGTTGGGAGCAGCATTGTACCGTACTTGTCAAAGATGGAGTGGGAGTTGGTAAGTGCATTTTGGCTCTTTTGGGGTACACCGGTATCTCTACATACTGCTTTCTGCTGCTAGTAAACCTTCTCATAATCTTAGAAATGGAGCAGTTCAAAGGGAACTCCTTGCATTCTTTTAAAGTCTTCTTTTGATAGCAGCGGATCTTCTCTTAGGTGGTGGGATTGACAACAGCTGTCACTTGGCCCTTTGAATTGTCTCCCAGAAATGTATATCCTATCTTCCTTCTTTGAATGGATTGTTCCCACGGAGTTCTTTTTCAGCTGCCTCTGATCAAGAGGGATAATGTTTTGCATGGCTGAACACAATAGTCTTTTCAGAGCCAGCTTTCCAGAAATTCTGTGGAGTTGGATAACAGATATTTGGAGATTTTTTTAAAAAATGAATAATGGCCTCTGGTGTCATTCAGGTCTCTGTTTTTTGACAATAGCCATTTTGGCTCTTTTTTTTTTTAACTAGGTGTCTCCTGCATGGCTCAGGATTGTTTGCTTCGGACCCCAGAAGATTTTGTGTTTCCACTGCTACCTAGTGAGGAGCTGAAAGATAAATACAGACGCTACCTCTTCAGGGACTACATTGAGGTATCATCTGTCATTTTACATTCAACGCTCTCTGTTTTAGGCACTAAGGAAATATAACCCCAGATCAATTTCTGTGAATTTGTCTGTAAGCGGTGTACCTGTAAGCTTAAGACTGCATCATGCACTTCCTTAAAAAGTTTCATTTGCTTTTGGAAAATTCAGTTCTGTTTGAATGGCTTTAATTCTGGCATGGGGAATTAGAAGATTGTTTTGCAATAGCTTTGCTTTCCTCTGAACAAGTGGTTCCAATCGGGGAAGGTCAGCCGGATAGAAGTCCTCTTGGTGGCCCCTGTCAGGCTGTCCTTTTTCCCTGTCCTTCAGCATTACATGTAGTTGCTGAGAGAGATAATCTGATATAGGTAATCCTCAGTTGATGACCAGTTGTTTAACGGTAGTTCGAAGTTAAAAGTGTCCTCGGAAAAAGTGACTTACGACCCTTCCTTAAAGTTATCACTGTTGCACCACTCCCATGGTCACAGTGACCATAATTTAGCCGCTTGGCAACAGGCTCACCTTTATAAAAGTTACAGTGTCGTGCAGTCATGTGATTGCAATTTGAGATCTTCCTGGCTGGCTTCTAATAGGCAAAGGGAATTGGGAAAGTGGGATTCACTTAGCCATGTCATCCACAATGGCCAAATAATTCACCTAATGATCACGGTAACAATGGTCATAAAATCAGGTACAGTCGTGTGGCGACTTATTTGACAATGCATTGCTTAGTAAATTCTGGCCTTAGTTGTGGTCGTCAGGCAATTATTTGCCTGTCGGTTGAGAAAACAGTCAACAAGCTTAACATTGCTACCCAGATTGGGTAAGAAATGTCCTTGACACCTTCCCTGATTGTCAGGATTTGGATGGGACAGAAAATTCTAACGGTGAACCCAAACAAAACCGATCACTGTTTAGTCTGGACTGGTCAGCACTACCACCTCAGTTCATGGAGGATATGCTGCAGTCTGGCTGAAAATTTAAGAGCAAGAGAGAAAAGAGAGGAGACTGTAGAACAGAGTGGCTGGAGAGTTAAGTTACGTGAGTGTGTGGAGCAAGTTATTAGACAGAAGAGAAGTCCATTGGGGGTGTGTGTGCCCTGAACAAAGAGAAGTCTCAGAGAGACAACATCTACATGCAAGACCCAAGACAGGAAAGGGGGACATGATAGCTTTTGGCAAAACCCTGGCCTCTAGGGAGTGATTGGACTGACAGCCATGAAACAGGTTCTTCCCCAAGGAAGGACATGCAAATGGTTCAGCCGAGCAGATCTGAGGAACCAAGTTGAGCATACTTGGCTATAAATCCAGCCTATTCCTGTGTTTACATTCTCTTGATAAGATCAGAAATGAGGAGGAAATAAAGCCGTTAGCAGAAGAGCTAAGGGGGAGAAGTAGTCTTTGGGAGAGAGACTTAGGAGGAAACCTTACACTGGGTGAAGGCCTGGATTGCATGGTACATACCTGTTGTAAATAACTTCATCTATAGTTTGAAAACAAGCATAAAACCTCAGCTGTCTTGTTTCCTGTGTCAGTTGTCATCCTCGCAAACCAAAATATGCCTCCAATTGTGAAACGGTCTCAATCACACTATAACCGTGATGGTGAACCTATGGCACGGGTTCTGACCAACTGGTCTTCGGGATTCCGGTGCTCTGGCTCATACACAGGCACACACATACATGCATGTTCCGGTTTGGGCACTCGGTGCCGAAGAGGTTCACCATCACTGCACTATAACATACTTCAATGCATTCTACATGAGGTTGCCTTTAAAGACTGCTCAAAGCTACAATTAGTTCCAGAGTACATCGCCTGATGGCTGTGGGAGCATTACACCTTTCATCAGGCCTTCGCCATGGCTATCAGTTGGCTTCTGGAGACATGCCAAGTTTTGGCTTTAAAGCCCTATATAGGTAATCCTCGACTGACCCCAAAAGTTATGCTGCTTAACGTTTGTTAAGTGAATTTGTCCCGTTTTATGACTTATCTTGCCACAGTTGTTAAGTGAATCCCTGCATTTGTTAGGTTAGTAACACAGTTGTTAGGTGAATCCAGCTTCCCCATTGATTTTGCTCGTCAGAAGATCACCAAAGGGGGATCACATGATCCCAGGGCACAGCAACGGTTGGGAATAAGAACCAGTTGCCAAGTGTCTGAATTTTGATCATGTGACCATGGAGATGCTGCAAGGGTCGTAAGTGTGAGAAGCGGTTATAAGTCAATTTTTCCCAGTGCCGTTGCGACTTTGAACAGTCACTAAATGAACTGTTGTAAGTCGAGGACTATCTGTAGTTTTTAGCCCTAAGACTGCTTGCTGTAATCGGAATTAGCTCAAACTATTAGTCATTCCAGAGAAAACTGTTCCTGATTCCCCACTTTGGGAGGCCCTTCTTTTTGGTAGCAGCACCGATTCTGTGGAAGAGTCTTATCTCTCAATGGAGAGCAGAATAGTCTACTCCCATGCTTTCCTTATATTTATTTCAAAAATATATTTTCCTGGGAAAGCTTCCTTAAACATTTTCCCAATGGAAAAAACAATTGGTCCTCCAAAAATAAAATCCACTTACACTTAAAACCATATACAGTTTTGTTTTGATGGAGGTCTCCGAAATAATTTTTAAAGCGGACTTACAATGTTTTTCCCACAGAGCCATTTCCAGCTGCAGCTCTGTCCTGGCGCTGACTGTCCTATGGTCATACAAGTGCAGGAGCCCAAAGCCCGCCGAGTGCAGTGCAATCGCTGTAATGAGGTTTTCTGGTAAGAAAGGGACTGTCAGATCCCTAAAAGTGATACTGCCATTCAATTGGGGGGGGGGGCTCGGAGTTAAATCACTAACTGTATCTGTAACAACTGAGTTTTACAACTTAACAAATGGTTTCCTGTCAACGGAAGACTGAAGGTGCCAGCATCTCTGGAGGGATGTTTATGATAGCCATGTGGAATAACTTACTTTAATGTCTAACTAGAGATAGCCATGGGAACGTGTGTTTTATTGACTCTCAGGACAGAAGAATTAAGGAAACATCTTCACACTTGTGTATTGGTTAGAATCTGCATTAGACAAAGGGGAGGGGTCATTATCAGCTTAATCCCATTTGCATTGCCTAAAGGGTTTCAGATGCTGCTTTGCCTCTAATGGTTTCCATCCTGACTGGTTATAAAGGTTCCTTTTGAAATAATCCGTTTCAAGAGTCTTTACTTTCTCAAGTTAGGAGAGGAGCTATTACAGGGACATTGTATATTTGATGGACACAAATGATAGAGATGGGAGGAATAGAAAAAGTCACCTTGAAAGGAGGAACAGCCTAAACAAATGCAGCAGTGACTGTCCAACTGTTGGAATTTGCCATCCAGCTCCTTGGGTATAGATAGGTTTGAGAGTCTAATGTGGCTTGAAGAAGCAGGAAAATGCTTAACTGTTTTGAAGATTAAACTGGAATAAGGGAGTTGCTATTCCAATTCACAGAGTTGTAATATTGTTGCAGAGTTGTGAGAACAAGTGTGCAACAAGAACCTCTCAGTAATTTTACAAGGAATGAGCAACGGTTATGCAAATCAACTCCATTCTGCAAATGCCAGCATCTAGAATCAAAGAGATTGAATGTGATGGGGAAAGGGTAGTAAAAGTAGCATTTGGTAGTTGTAAATAAGATTTGGAGAGCTATATGTAGCCTATGGATTGTATAACCTCCTTTAGATGGTCCCACTACTTCACAGCGCAAAGCTAAGGGTATATGGTCTACACCAAAAAAAAGTGGAAACTGTCCTGTGCTAATTTAAACACCAGCATCTGTAGAGGTTTTGTGCTATTTTGGCTTTTTTCCAAGTGAAATAAAAAGATATAGGGAATTATCAGTGTGGTATAGCATTTAAGATACTGGACTAGGAGTGGGCAAAAACAGATTCTAATCCTTCCTTAGATATGGAAGCTAGTCAGGTGACTTTCAGCCAATCAAAAATATCTTATCTACCAGCCCACTCTAGACCAGTGTGATATTTACAGTCCATGACCTTCAGTGAAGAGGCTGCCATCCTGCACTGGATTTATTTGTGTTGATACTGTAATAATATTCCTCAGGATATTGTACTCTACTTTCTACTGCCAAATTCCGCTATTGAGTGGGATACAAGCTTTGCGTATGGGTGCCGTTGTTGTTTTCAAATAGTATTTGCTTACAAATAATAGATTTTCTTTAAACTGGACATACATTTCTTTTTGCTTCAGTTTCAAATGTCGGCAGATGTACCACGCTCCTACAGATTGTGCTACCATCCGAAAATGGCTCACTAAGTGTGCAGATGACTCTGAAACAGCTAACTACATCAGTGCTCACACTAAAGATGTAAGTGTGTTGGGGAGAGGACACTTTTAAGTATTTATAGTTTCAAACACATCTCCCGTTGGGTTATTAATGGAGGGGTTGGTCATTGAATTATATATTCTATATCTGAAATCTTTATTGTATTTATTTATTGAATTTATATTGCCACCTATTCACCCATGGTGACTCAAGGCGGCTTACAGAATATAAAACTACATTTAAAATAATAAAACTAATAAAAAGAATCAAATAAATTAATATAGTATAATATAATAAAATCATACACACACACACACACACCGGCGACAGCAGATCACACGAGCCATTTAATGGGCTCCATCCCACTCTGGGTTCCTCAGGCCTGTTGGCAGAACCAGGTCTTCAGTTCCTTCCGGAAGAGAGTGAGGACCGTTCTAATCTCTATGGAGATGATGTTCCAGAGAGAGGGAGCCACCTCGGAGAAGGCCCTTCTTCTGGGTCCCACCAGGTGTATCTCTGGATGGGACCCACAACATTCCCTACCTCCCCGCTCTGATGGGTCAGGTAGATGTGGCTGGCAAGAGACGGTCCCTCAGATAATCTGGTCCCAAGCCATGAAGGGCTTTAAAGGTGACAATCAGCACCTTGAATTGCACCCAGAAGGAAATCGGCAGCTAACGCAGCTCCCGCAGGAGAAGTAATACACATGCACACCGAGGTCTGCACAAAACCATGCGGGGCACTGCATTTTGCACCAACTGGAGCTTCTGGATGCTCTTCAAGGGTAGCCCCATATAGAGCATGTTGCAATAGTCAAGACAGGAAGTGACTAGGGCATGAGTGACTGTGAGTAGATATTGTTAGTCCAGGAAAGGGCATAACTGGTGCACAACCCACAAAAGATTCCTCCTCACGTCCCCTCTTTCCCCACTTATCTTGCCATTTGCTACTTATCTCCCAAATAAACAAAAGCCAAAATGGAAAGAGAGTGAAGAGAAAAAAAGGTATTATGAGTTCCAACCAGAAGCAGTGTGGATGGACTCAGTTATAACATTGTACACATAAGTACACATTGGAAGACCAGCTTGGGAACAAATGCTGTTGTGGAACATCAGTGTTGTTGCTATTAGTCAACACTGACATGATGGCATATAATCAAGTTGCTTGATTATACATTTGCTCATACGTTTATTAAATATATTACATCTCCCAAAAGAAAAGATTAGATCATATGTTTCTCCCCTTCCAAGGTAATAAGAGAATTGCTACCCTGAGCAGAAAAGTAAGATTAGAGGAATCATCTAAGACACTGGTGTCCATGACGTGACGTATTGCGAGATTTTTTTCCCTTTGTGAAGCCAGGGTGGGCATGGCCTGTGTGTGATGCATCCGGCTTGCGGGCTGCCAGTTTGACACCACTGATCTAAGATGCATACTAAAAGAAAGAGAAACTAGAAGACCCATTTTTATGGAGAGGGAAGACTGAACATTACATTAAAAAAGCCTAAATGATTTGAATTGTAATATTCATAAATAGCGTAAGTCAACCGAAAGAGGAACATTGCAAAAGTATTGGATTGGTTGGGATAGGGATGGGTTACAAAACATGAAGAGAAACTCAAGACTTTTTTCCCCCTCATCTGTTAAAATGCCTGGTTCCAAACCTGGTTTTCTGTGTGGAAGAAGGCCCAGATTCAGTGTTGGCACTTCCAGGGGGTGTCAGGAAAGGCTCCTGTTTGAAAGCCATTACCATTTCACATAGCTTGATAGATTAGTGGTTTGCTTTACAAGGCAAATTTCTGTGTTCTTATGAAGAAGGGAATGGAGACTCCACAATTAGAGAAAGCAAAATGGAAGCCAAATAGAGTGGAAACCTGGAAGGCATATTGTCAGCATTCCAAATAATCATCCAGAATTAAATCAGAGTTCAAGGCATAGCTTCCATCCAGTTCCAATTTAATAAGAGAGACATGCTGGTACAAACTGTGGAAACCTGAATCTGACAGCTTCCTGGGTTTCCATTCAGTTGAAAGTTCATGATCTTGCCCTACACCCACAAGTTCATCACATGGTCCAGTCTTCCTCTGCCACGCTGGCATTTCCACTCATCTAGCTCTGGTCAGGTGCAGAGACAAAGGATGACCTTGGCCTTCTAGAAAGGAATGTTTTATTTTGACAACAACACATTCTACTCCTTACTATTCCCCCCTCCCAAGTCCCCACTAATGAAACAGCATAGTAAAATAAGAGAGAGAGAGTGTGTGTGGAAGGCCAAAGATCCTAAAAGGAATATGACTGCAGGCCAGACATATGAAGTATGGGGGAAATTGTTATGTTTCATGTTATTCTCTTGTTTTCTTCTCAGTGTCCCAAGTGCAATATCTGTATTGAAAAGAATGGTGGCTGCAATCACATGGTGAGCAATTTCTAAATAGGCTTAAGAATCACCTTAACATTTTTATCTGATTTTTAGATTAAAACTTTGTGGTTTGTTAACTACTTCTTTTTTCTCTCTGTTTCCTCCTCCAGCAATGTTCCAAATGCAAGCACGGTAAGTGGGTAACAACTGCCTTTTTGAACTGGGAAACATTTTCCTGATCTTTATTTTAAGTATTATCCTGCTGATCCATTAAAGCATTTGTGGCCCTTTGATTACTGTTCTAAAGTACCCGTTCAGTAACCTGCTCAGCACAGCCCTTTGCCTGCTCTTCTATTCACCAGCTTTTACCTTCTTATCTCTTGCAGACTTTTGCTGGATGTGTCTAGGGGACTGGAAGACTCATGGCAGCGAATACTATGAATGCAGTCGGTACAAAGAGAATCCTGATATTGTAAATCAGAGTCAGCAAGCACAGGCCAGGGAGGCCCTCAAGAAGTACTTGTTCTATTTTGAAAGGGTAGGAAAAGACTCTTTAGCCAAAGCTAACTATAAACTTTTCAGGGCATTCTGCCCTGTGCAGAGACACAAGGATGAATGTCAACAGGTCTAAGTGATAAGCATTCCATTCTGTGATAACAGGATGAACATAATTCTGAATCCTTAAGTTTATTTTTCAAGATGTAAATGTCTTCCTAGATAATTCTTATAACGGGTTTTTTTTTCTTTATGGGGTCCAGCAGAAACTGTGCTACATTTTTGAAATTGGATTGCTTCTTTTCAACTGTTGCCTCCCATAAAAGCACCTTTGCTGTCTTACAGATTTGTATTCCTTGCCCCAGATATGCTTAAAAACCATTTTGTGTATCCATATATATGTAACCAATTTTAAAATAGTGAATTTCTAGTTTCTGCTCTTAGAAATAAGGTATATGGTTGAAATTCAGTGCTGTTCTGAGCTAAATGTCACTATTTTTTTATTGCTTGTGACTGCCCTTCCAATTAGTCCAAAAAGTTTTTTTTTGGGGGGGGGGGGACACAACCTCTCAGAAGGAGCTTCTGAGGAGAGAGAAACTTCAAGAGTCTATTGGATAATTTCTCACCTTGTTCTGTCAATAGAAATAGCCTCATCAGTATCCCCCCTCCCAAAATCAGTCTGTTCTTTTTGGTTCCTTCTTAGCTTTAACTGTTCTTTTGAATGGAGTGTAAACGTAATTTATCCCTATGTGTCTATTAATGGCTGATCTGTCTGAATGCCAAGCATTCAGGAATTCCCTAATGACCAAAGCAAATCCTTTTCAGCAGTCCATACTCAGATAAGTGGGCATTAATATCAGGCAAACAGTTAAGCAATACCCTAATCAAGGAACTACCAAGGAGAAAACCACACCCTTACCAAAACTGGCAGAGCAAGATAGTGTATGTAAACAAGGAATAAACCTCACACTCACTGCAGTGGTGGGTTCCAGCCGGTATGCCCCGGTACAGGCGTTCCAGTCCCTGCTGGGAGCAGCAGGCACCATTCCGGTACGGTGCTTTGGAGGGCCCACCTGCCTGCCCGCCCTCCTTACCTGTATTTGACTCAACTGGGTCATTTGCACACGTGCACAAAGTGTACGGTGTGCATGCGCGGTGGGTGCACATGCACACGTGCATGCACATGGTGGATGCCCGGCCCCGTCACAGCGTACCGGTAATATCACTGATTACCTAATTGGGTCAAGCAAACAACCAAGCTCAGAGGGCACTAAGGACAATTACGTAGCTAACCAGATATTCCAGATGTAGTTAAACAATATTTGAGTTACAAAATAGCATTCAGTAGATTGCACAACTATTTATTTTATTCAAATTTACTAGCTATCTGTTTGTGGGCAGTATACAAAACTGGAAAATCCATAAAACAGATAAAACATTAAGCCAAGCAGACAGCGAAGACTAAACACAGATCAGCCCACTACCCTACCCTACCCAAATACAGGCCTACATTAATATATCAATCTCAGGCCTAGGACCAAAGCCAGATTTTTAAGAGCTATCCAGAACTCTAGGAGAAAGGGCACTACTCTGTCAATTTGAGGACTTTCGCATTCCTCAGTTACTAGCTGTGTGCAATAATTATGCCAGAACAGGTATGTAGCTTGAGATTTGCAGGTGTGGATGGGAAGATGAGTGTCATGCAAGAGGATTTGGAGCATTGAAAGAAGGAACTGGAATATTGGAGGAGAGCTGTCATTTATAGCTGTGCACTTCCTGTCTGGGTTGACCTTTGCTTGTAATTGAACTAGGCAATTATACCATATACCAAGTGGGAATGCTAGTATAAATGAATTGCCTTGCCTTTTTTTAGAGCCCACTCACAAAAAAACAGTTTGCTTTTAGAAGGTGATTGGTATGCTTCCCTCACCCCCCAGCGTAACACATCTTTTTTTGATGGTAGAAGTGCTTAGTATGAAAAACTACTCTTTTCTGCTGGATCCCAGCCTAGGTTTCTTTCCTTGCTTTTCCATTAATCGTATTCATTTTTATTCCTTTTCTCCATTGTAAAGTGGGAAAACCACAACAAGAGTTTACAGTTGGAGGCGCAGACATACCAGAGAATTCAAGAAAAAATCCAAGAAAGAGTTATGAACAATTTGGGAACGTGGATAGATTGGCAGTATTTACAGAATGCAGCAAAACTCCTAGCCAAGGTAACTATCTGTAAATCAGCCTTGTCATAATACCTGAGGGCAGTGGTGGTGGTGGTGGTAGGTTAGGGTATATTGCTGTGTTCATGGGCTATATAGCTATGGAACCCTAGCTCTGATTGTATATGGCAACTAGGTGCAATGAATATTATCAAAGGAGTTACTATGCGCTATTCAGTACACTGATCTGAACCTACAACTGAAAACTGGATTTAAGTTCACCTGGGATTGGTTGAGATGTAGGAGCACATTTTGTGCTGCTTTTTTGAAATTCTTGATGCTGCTACCACCACCACAAACCCGGGAAAAGATGAGTTCTGCTGTCTCCTGCTTTCACGGATGTAGCTTACTTATGAGTGACTCAAGGTTGACTCAGCCTTCCATCCTTCCGAGGTGGCTCAGTGGTTAAATGCAGCACTGCAGGCTACTTCAGCTGATTGCAGTTCTGCAGTTCGGCTGTTCAAATCTCACCGGCTCAGGGTT